TAATAGGTATGAAATAGAAGATAATTGGAAATTAAAATTTATACTAAATTGACAGAAGGGCGTAGAATAATCATTTTAAATAAAATTAAACGTATCATGGGTATAATGAAAGAACTATTATGTGTAAATACTACCTAGGCGCCTTTTAATATAATCACTGAAAATCTAAACTAATTATAATATAGTTTTATAAAAAAAAATATGAAAAACGAAATGCCATAGTAAATTAAAAAAAAAAAAAAAACTTTCATTCGGCAAATACACGCTTGTGAGATTTACAAATTATTTACACGTACTGATGTACGATATAAACTTCATTACATAAGATAAATACATAAATTTAGAGAATTCGTAAATAAAGTGGTTAGAAAAACGTTTAATGAATAACAAGGCAAAGATAGTGAAGAATATTGGTAATTACATAATCATGAGATACAGAATTATATGTTTCGCTCAATATTGATAGAGCAATTCAATTATGTAGACGAATATAATTCAAATAGTGTAAAATGGAAAATACAAGAATAGAGTGCAAAGCATATTTTCTGAAAAAAACCAGAAATTTAAAAACTTATAGGCGAACTAAGATAATATTTGTATGATAGTGTAAAATGATATTTAAACAAAATTCGCTTTAATCGAATCTTTAAAAAATTATGTAAATCAGAAAGTTAATATTTTTATGTCGATGTGTTAATGAACTTTTAAGTTTTGAATCTAACTAATAATAATAATGATGATGATGATGATGATGATGATGATGATAATAATAATGCAAGCATACGTCGTAATTTATATCCAATGTATTCGAGCTTTTACCTGGAAATAGATATTATTGGATGCAAAGTGTGAATGAATATTTGCAAATTTCTAAAACGATAGTGCAAATTTAAATGCAGTCAAAAGTTCATTTGGTCCATCATATCATTATTATTTCTTATGTTCTATTATAATTTATTTATAAACTTTTCAATGAGAATATGCCATAGTAACATTGATTTATACAATAGTTCATCCATTACAATATTCGTATATTTCGGTGTTAAATTATTCTATCGAACAAGATTTAGTTTGTAAGCTTTATTAATAAAAACTATTTTGAATGTACTTTTTATTTTAATTTTATTTCATTTTAACACTTTCTTTTTATGTGAATTTGTCCATTTAAAAAAATTTATTATTAAAATTGTCTTTTTATTGCAGGTGAAAAGATAAATTTAAAGAGATAACTGTTTTACATGATATATTATATTTTTAAGTAAAAATTGAACGTATTTTTTTATTTAGTAATTTGTAAGTATTTTCAAATATCTATTATTATAAAGAGTATTATTATTGCAAATATTATTTAAATATTCTATATTAATGTATGTGTTAAATTCTGTATTTTATTACATTAAATAGATGTTAAATGTGATGAAATACTGATAGAGCAACAAATAATAAATAAAATGTATTATTAATGTATTAATATAACTATCTTTTTATTAAATGGTTTATTAAATGAGTTTTAAATTCAATTTGAATTTAAAATTTAAGCTAATTTTCTTTTGGATTTTATGTAACATCGATCCAACTGACTAATGTTATAATTAATAAATTAAGACAGCAATCTTTTATTTTATACAAGATTTGTATAAAAAAAAAGAAAAAAAAGAATATATATATATATATATATATATATATATCTAATCTGTTGTTCTGTAAATATAATACAATTATAATATAATAATTAATATACATAATTCCTAGACATTTTTCTCGATAAAATGTAAATTTATTTGATTTTAGCTAATTTAGTTCATTTGTGAGCCTGATTCTTTCATTTCTTAATTATTAATTATGATTTTCATTCCGCTAATCTGCTGATAATTTAATATCGTCATTTCTCAAAAAAATAGAAGAAATGAAAATACGGAGAGAAATATAAAGGCACAACTCAACCCATAACGACGTATAATTCAATCAAATTAAATTATACGATACTTATTATCGTAATATGTAACCTCAAAGAATATCAATATGTCGTGATCAAGATATCGTGCACATAATATGAGAAAAATCTTAAAAGTTGTTTATAGTTAAGCTCGGCTTCTGAGTATTGGTAAATGTATGCGGTATAATTTGCAACTCGATTGGACATATAAGTTTTTATTCCAACAGAAATGGAAAATAACTCTTGGGTATGGCTTGAGTGATCTCGAATTGCCGTCGGACACACGCGTGTGTTATTTATTTTTTTAATTTTTATTTAACACGAGCAATTTGCGATTTTATCGCAAAAATTTCAATGGATAAATATAATAAAAAATATATAAATTAAAAATATTATTTGGAAGTTCGTTTGATCCGCGTATGCGCTAAAAAGAACGCGACCAGTCAGTATAATCGATCGATAATAAGATTCACGATAAGTAATAAAGCATTAATATATAAATTTTAAATAGTAATTGAATGAGAAATATCTGATATTGGAATGAAATTGATTCGTAATTTTGCATTATTTTATAAGCAATGTAATTGGCTTATAACTAATTATGAGGTAATTATTAACAATCGTAGGATAATATTGTATGATTGAATCTTCATTATGTAATAATCGACTGTTCAATAAAGCGATAAAATTATCACTACACAAATAATCAACTACACATGGCGTCAATTATTAATTAAATTTTTTTGATTAAAATTACGATACGTGTAAAAGAATTGGACTTTTCAGTGGAGACGACGTGCAAACGTTTTTTTGAGTAATAAAAAGGATACGTAAAGTGCCGACGGAAGAGTGAGGGGTGATAATATAAGAAGAAAAAAAAGTTTGAAAACGATTTTGCTACGCGTAAAGCTTGGTATCGCCAGACGTTGACGATTGATCTTTGAATCTCGAGAAACGAACCAAATTGTTATGTTGTTGTTTGGAATTGAGTAAAATTAATTGAAAACCATTGAAAACCATTGAAAACCATTGAATGCCCGTGTACTGCCTAATGTTTCGTGACTTTTAAAAGTGGCTCGTTCGCCTTTAATTAGCTTAAAGAGAGGTGGAAAAAACAAAACAAAACAAAACAAAACAAAACAAAAAACACAACAAAAAAAAATAAAATAAAATAAAATAAAAATAATAAGAATAAACTGGCGTCTGGTTTATTCAAACGAATTCTTCGACGATAAAAGCCGTTGGGCAGATAGCAAAGAGAATAAAATACGTTTGCCTAATTTGGGCAGTGATATTTGTCGGACAATCATAATTAATGGAAAGCATCGATTTGGATATAATAATTCGTAAACGAGGAGTAGGAAGAGGCGTATTATAACGATATTATTAGATTCGTACGAAGCAACGATGACATACGTAGTTTTCACCTTGGCGATCAAGAAAAAAAAAAAAAAAAAAAGAAAAAAAGAAAAATGAAAAAAAAAAATGAAAAAGAAAATGAAAAAATAACGAGTAAAGATAAATGCGTTGGTGAGCGCTTGAAGAAATACTTAAAAATATAAGATTCTTATCAGTTTGAGTGCGATTAAAGCCTACTTGGTGTTTGGTGTTCGGTAGATGTTATCGAGGGAAAGGCTGCTAGTGAGCGGCGTTTTTATGTGTACGGTTAGAGGAATTTGGGATCGAGGAGAGCGCGGGTGCAGGGAGCAAAATCGTCGCTCGTCCGGGAGAAGAAAAGCTGAAGGAAGCGCGCGAAATTCGAGCCATTCAACGACGAAACTTGGGTATGCGCGCGAGCGTCGTCAAGCATTGATAATTGCTGTGGGACGACGGGATAGTAGTAGTGGTAGTGGTGGTAGTGGTGGTAGTGGTAATGGTGGTGTTGGCGGTAGTGGTAGTGGTAGCGGTAGTGGTAGTGTAGTGGTAGTGGTAGTGGTAGTGGTAGTGGTAGTGGTGGTGGTGGTGTGGTGGTGGCGGTGGCGGTGGCGGTGGCGGTGGTGGTAGTAGTGGTGACGACTTGAATTTGCGAATTGCCGTGGTTCGTAAGGACGGTGCGGGTGTACCAGGAAGGAGGGGGGGGGAGGACCGGTGGAAAACCGGCGGTCCAGCGCGGAGGCACGTGGCCAGCGGCCTCGGGAGAAGGGGAGGGCGTGGGCAAGCGATATGCATGTGTATATATACATTTGTGTTTTTGAGAGTTACATGCGCGCGCGCGCGCTTGTGTGGTGTGAGTGATATATATATATATATATATTTGTGTGTGTGTGTGTGTGTGTATGGTATGCGTGTGTATGCGTGTGTGTGTGTGTGACTATGTGCATGCGTGCGATGAGTTAAGTAGAGGGAGAGAGCGAGCGGCGGGGAATGAGAAGGTGGAAGGGAGCGAGGGAGTGAGGGAGGGTGAGCGGTACGTGAGAGAGAAAGAGATAGATCGAGCAAGCACCAACCTGTCACTCTTGTCGACCTGCACGAGTGGCGCGAGCTCCTGCCTCGGTGGCTCCGCCGAGATACCCTGGGCGCGGTGCTTCCTCGGGCGCGGCTTAGTTGGAGCCAGGGGCGACTTGAATGGTAGCACGCTCAAGAATTTATCGAGGTGACTTCGTAATTCGAGGATCTCCTTGTCCCTCTGGCGCAACTGTGCCTCCAGTTCCGCGACCCGCTCCTCCCTCAGGCGTAGCAGCTCCTGCAGCTCCGCCATGTCCGAGGGCGGCGGCTGCTGCTGATGTTGCTGATGCTGTTGTTGCTGTTGTCGTTGTTGTTGCTGTTGTTGTTGCTGCTGCTGCTGCTGCTGCTGCTGCTGCTGCTGCTGCTGCTGCTGCTGCTGCTGCTGTTGTTGTTGTTGTTGTTGTTGTTGTTGTTGTTGTTGATGCTGTTGTTGTTGTTGCCGTTGTCGTTGTCGTTGCTGCCGTGGTTGATGTTGCTGCTGTAGTTGTTGCTGTTGCAAAGATAACGACGACGACGACAACGACGAGGAGATTGGTGGAAGTAGTGGCAAAGTCAGTGGTGTCAGCGGTGTCAGCGATGTCAACGGTGGCAGTGGCGGCGGTGGTGGTGGTGGTGGCGGCGGCGGCGGCGGCGGCGGCGGAGGCGGAGGCGGAGGCGGAGGCTGCTGGTGGTGCTGTTGAAACGAGTGCCGCCGCTGCTGCTGCTGTTGTTGCTGTTGCTGTTGCTGTTGCTGTTGCTGTTGCTGTTGCTGTTGCTGTTGCTGCTGCTGCTGCTGCTCCTCCTCGTCGTCGGCAAGCCGCTGCTGCGGCGACGAGAAGCACAGCGAGTCGAAGCACACGCGCATAGACACGCAGGCGTCGCTGATCAGCCGGCACTCGGTCGCCCCGTCCATCAACTCTGCTGCCGCGGGCCCGAGGCGTGAGCCGCTGTCGTTGCTGTCGTTGCCGTAGTCGTGATCGTGATCGTGATCGTGGTCGCGGTCCTGGTCGTGGTCGCCACCCTCGCTGACAACGTTGTATTAGTCCGATGCTGCTGCGAGGGCATGCACGCGGGCAAAGGTCCGCGGGTGCACTGACTGCGCCGAGTGCGACGTGCGGCCAGCGCCGGTGGCCCCGGTCCCCAGTCCGCGGCGGTGGCCCGTGCCGTCGTCTCTGCCCAGTCCGCGCGGTCCGGGACGGGAGCCACTTTTCTGACCCACGTGCCGCGACTGATCGAGGGCGCAGGCGCACCCAGGGAGAGCGGCTCCGTCGGACAAGTCGTTCGCGACGCGCACCGGCCGGGATCGTTTGCCGATCGAGCCGCACTCCCGCAGCTCCTTCCCGAGCGCCACCAGGTGCCGGTCGATCGTCGGCCGCCCGTGCCTCCTCAGCCTCCGCGCCGACAGTGTCGAGCTCCGCCGCGTATGACGCACTCTCACCTCCCCTCCGCCGCCCGTTCCCTGGCCGCTTACCCATGGGCCCCGGGCCCCGTCCGTTACGTGCTGCCGCGCCGCCGAATTTTTTTTACTCAAATTCGAACTACGGCCGAGTATGTTTCATCCGCTTAATTAGGATCTCATCCTCAATTGCAATTACTTGTATCGCAATCTCCCATATCCTCTCGGCCGTTCCCTACCTTTTCTTAGGAAATAATATAACATTATTGCTTACTTACTTTAAGTACATCGATCGTTGACTCTATGTTGTTGCTTTTTTTTGCCTTTTTGTATTGTTTTGTTTATTGTTTTTTGTTTTTTGTTTTTTTTGTTTTTTTTTGTTTTTGTTTTTGTTTTTGCCATTATTATTAACTCTTATCCAAAATCATGTGATAAAGTTACTTTTATATTTATTTATGTAGTTATGTTTTATGAGGCTTATTTATACCTTACATAAAGAGCTTTTGGCATCGTAAGAAAAATTGGTCATTGAATGCAGGATAAATTCTCCTAATGCGTTTATTATTTTGCTTTACAGTATCTTTTATTTCGTTTAGAAAAAAAAATTACAATTACATCGTTGCTGTACAATGAATAATGTAGTAATGCACACTTTTTCACGCTTATCGTACATTTATAAAACGAAACGAAATTTCAAACGACTACAAAGTAAATTTCATAGTTTATTTGTTCTCTTTTAATGGTGACGATAGCTTTGCAAGAATAACGATGGAATTCTTTAAGATACTTAGTGCGTCAAAATTATCATTCCGTCCACAATTAGCTTGTATTGAGAATTTCTTGGCGTTAACATAGAGAAATAAGTTTAGCTAAGCATTACGTAAGATATGACTAAAATAATTAAAATAAATGCATGTCAACGACGATATTTCGTTATATAACTTTGAAGTATAACCACTGCTACTCGCATTAACTGAAGTAACGGGATGCTTAAGCATTATTAAGACACATTCGAATAATAATTAGAAAAAATTTTTATTACATTATATTTAGAGTTCATTAAAAATATAGAGTATTTTAACAGAGCAATAGTTATATATATATATATATATATATATATATATGCAATTCAGTAAAATTTGCAATTAAGACAAGATGCCAAATTAATATTTTATCTATGTAATAAAATGGTAATACTTAACTTGAATTTGTCCGTTCACAGCTAATAATTGATCAAAATCAAGTATTTCCGAACAAAAGCTTGTAAAAATAGTATCGTTATATCTATGGAGATATACTATGGGTAAATAAAAGTGCCGTTACAGTATTTATAATTTTGTTTATATTTTGTTGGATTGTTTTATACTTTTGATGCATAAAATCCCTATCGAAGTTGGCAAGGATATGGGGCGTGGGGAGATAGGAAGAGTGAGTGAGTGAGAGAGAGAGAGAGAGAGAGAGACAGACAGACAGACAGACAGACAGATTTTTAGAGCACGATAGATCAATGATTAATCTTTAGTACTAAATGATTAGTACTGCATGCATAATAATTTTGAAGGGATCGGTCTTTTATATAAAAACTTCAAAGCTAATTGTTATTCGAACTAAAATCGACTAAAATTTAATCCGTTTTCTCATAATTGTTTCATTTCAATTAATAAATAGAGGTAATGGCTAGTTAATAGGTTTTACTATTATTAAATGGTATGTAATGGAAATTGGGATAGGCGCTGAATATTAAATATTTGTGTCTTCGTTGCTTATTGCCTAATTAAAATTATAGTGGCTTGGAGGCAATTGTTTGAAATCACATGAACGAAATGTGTATTAGTTGATAGAAAATTGTCAGGCGTACAAAGGAGATGATTTATTGTAAACTACAATGATCTGGTTTCAATGCGGAATCAATTTGCAACTGCAGTTTCATCAGGTTCAAGCAGCGATACTACTTGATCGATTTCGCGTTCTTTGTTGTTTAGCAACAAATACCAATGGCTTTATGGATTTTGTCATTGGCAGCACAGTTGAGTAATCAGCCGCATTTTACTTTAAAAAGTCAATGGAAAAAGTGCGCAAAGGGTCCAATGTACTTTTACAGAATGTCGCCTGGGGTCCTTATTAATAAAGTCGATGATTAATTAAATAATCGGTATCCCGAATAAAATGAAACATGGCGTGACCGCACTTGTTGATATTGTAATTTCTATTCAATAAATTATTATAACAATATACCGGTAATTTCTTTATTAAAAGTTAGCCAATAATAATTATTATGATCACGTTGTCAAAATATAAATAAGTATGAGCGCATAAATCGGATTTTATTTATCATCGATGGTGTGCGCATACTAATCATTATTAAGAATAAAACTTATATATTTTTTTCAATTATTGTTAATGTCTATTGTTGATAACGGACAATAATCATTTAACATTATGAAATTTAGCGAGTTATTGTTAAGAAGAAGCATGACGAACAAATTTCCTCTCCACTTTGCATTTAATTAAAATTTTTAATCCATTATTTAATGTTATATAGAAAAAATATTGAATTTTTCTATATTATTATTATTATTATTATTATTATTATTATTATTATTATTATTATTATTATTATTATTATTATTATTATTATTATTATTATTATTATTGTCTAAATTAAAATCTGCTATTGCGAATTGTAATTCATTAACTTTTAATTATCTAGCATAGAGAATTGCAATTGGAATTATGAACTATGAATTTATAATTATCAGTTTCGTAACGCCGGAGTAACGTATGTTTGTACAACAAGAATCGCAGAATTGTATGAACTTCTTGAAGTGAAAGTGAGATCGCGTTGATCAATTCTTGATGAGACGGTATAAACTCCTTGAACTGAAAATGAAGTTATGCCGATCAATTTCTGTTTGGTTACATCCACCGATACTGTAATTTATCCAAACGGATTAACATTCATACTTATAAGATACATTTGAGAAGGTAAATGGAACACTTGTACATTTATATACAATAAACAGCGAGAATTTTTTATTTTATAAGGAGAAATTTAATCGCATTATCTTATTGTTGGCGTATATAGAGTATTAGGATTATCGATAATGGATTAATCGAAACATTCGTTGTTAATTCCGATTGTATAATACGAATGAGCTTCCTTTAAAGAGTATAACATTTTGTAAAATTGTAAAATTTTAACATTTTGTAATCAATATAACATTTTGTAAACAATTGTAAAATTAACTCAATATGAATATTATTTATATTTTAGTATAGCTTTTAAATGTAAATATATTTTATGAATTGAAATTATTTAAGCAGTTAGCAGAATAATTTGATAAGCCGATATTAATAATTAATGATAATTAATAAATACACCACAAATGTTAGTATTAAATTTGCTTAAAATGTTTTTCCTACAAACTTTAATTATTACCAGAAATATATAAATTTATAATTTTATTTACTTATAATCATTTTATTTCAATACAAAAGAAAAATTCTATTTAAAAAGTATGTTTTTCCCGTTATTCACAATAAATTATATCATTAGCCAAAAATAATAGCAAGTATTTATTCGCTTTAATTTTTAAATAATTTATTATCATTTTTATATACCTATACTGTTAATAGTTAAAAAATTTCTCTATATCGTATTTAATTTATAAAATTTACTGACATAATAATAAAATAGTACAAATATTAATACAATTAAATAAAAATTAATCACATATTTTTATAATATAATTCCAGCAATTCAAGTGGCTGAATATTTATGATGTGATGTATGGATTAGTTTTATGTTTCAAATATAAAATCATCTTTAATCGAGCAGTTTAATGTGCATTATTGACCAGAGAAAACAATTGTTGAGGTGGATGTGATAAAATTTTGTGACATATTTATTTGTTTTAAAAATCATTTGCTTACGTATATCATACTTGATATTTCTTAATTTCATAAATATCACAAACTTAAAATTTTCAATTTAAGGTAATACGACATGAAACCCAATTTTCGATATTAGAAAAACTAAATAATTGATGTATAAAGAAAAAATAAAAAGAAAAAAAAATCCTTATAGTTTATTGCAAAATTCTTTAATTATACAATATTTTGAATACATATTTTAATATAGTGAGTATAAAATTTAATTTTGCACTTAAAGTAATATATTATTATTATTATTGGCATTACAATTTTTTTGGTATTAGTTGCATCATCATTTCTGACTTATTTTGGTTTTTTAAATAATTTTACCATGGTTTCAGGTGTTTTGTTTTTGTTTAAAATTAACGATCTTAGATTAGAAAAAATCTTACCAATTAAATGCACATCCAATGGATTGTTGTTCCTTTTTATTTTTATGCTACAGGAATAAGGAAGTCGATTCAGTTGAAAAAGTTTCTTTTCTACTTTATCCGAAATCTAACAAACTGTATTTTTTTCTTTAAAACTTTTGTTTTAAATTTATATACACATATGTATATATATATATATATATATATATTCATATGCAGAGATATTACAATATCATCAAGAATATGT